ATAATAATTATATTATTACATTACTACAAAGACTAACGTTTGAGAATAAGTATCCTAATCCTAATTTTTTTTACACTAACTAACTTATGAACAGACTAATTTACAATTTTGAAAATTAAATATACCGTATAACATTTACCTACGACAGAAAGAATGGTTTAATCACACTTCCACAAAAAAATAATCATAAGCTAGTGACGAAGGCAACCAGTCAGTCGGGTGGGAAGGAGCGGATTAACTTCTTACCTACCCTATTTTTGTGTTTATTATTGGCAATATGATATGTGGTGTCCAGAAAAATCTTTGATAGGTTTATGCGACTATGTATTTTTTACTTATTATGAGCTATGTATGTTATAAAAAATTTAAAATAAAACCTGCCACCCAAATTAGTGAAAATTACTCAAACCAGATTCATCACCTAATCTTTCTTCAAATTTATATACAACCTTTCGAACAAAAAAGGAATTCTCTAGAAATAGAAAATCGTAAATAGAAATCGGTTTACAAACATCGGAATAATCGCGTAACAAATACATATACAAAAAATAAATAAAAATAATGTCGTGAGAACCTCCTTTTTTAAAATCGGTTAAAAAAAAAAATATATATATATATATATTATGTATTAAAAGTCTACACTATCGACACTGTGGTCGCATGTGGATGAGAAGACGGTTAAAACAGATATGTTAAAACTCAATCGATCTGCAAATGTATCTATCTGTATAAACAAAATTATAGGGAAGTAAAAAACAAAACAGAATCACCAAACAAACACTACAGTTACATAGGAGGGAAAAAAATAACGATTTATTTGTCACAATTGGAACCATAACGTGGTAGGCGTTTGAAGTTAAATCTACAACGACGGTAAACAAATGCGATGATGTAGGTATGATTACGTGTTTGGTAATACCCATTGACTTACAAATAAATGGACGACGGGTCTAATACAAAAACCACGAAAAAAATGTCCCAAGTCAACCTATTTAAACGTAGTGACATGTAAAGTAATATGAAAAAGCTAAAACGTTGAATTTAAATTGTAATGTCATCGCAGTACTGTCTAATTTTGCTTGCTTCGCTGTCAGTCGAACAAACGAAGACTAAAGCGTGAATGACGCTCTGTATACGATTTTAACGCCCTATAAGTTCGGACACTTTTTAGCGCGGACCCGACGTCCATATAATTGTAAGTCAATGGTAATACCTATGTTATTTTTTACGTAGTTCTATAACTAACATATTTCAAATTGGTTTTAATTAAGTTTTATTAAATGTCAGGATGTTTTATGACATTCAATTAATTTTTGTGAAATTACTCCACTACTTGTTATAGTCAAAGATCTGCACGCACATGGAAAAATACGTGAGGTCCGTGGCTTAGTTCGCATAGCATCTGGCACGGATTGCTGGAGACACTGGAGATATTGGTTCGAATCTAACCGGATCAAAGCGATTTTTTTCTGTGTTCGATATTTGTTAAATAATTATAACAAAATAGTAAAATGGTTTTACTTAATCTGGACATTATTTTTCAAAGTTGCTTTAAGAGAGAGAACAGTAGTAGTAGAGCTTCTCGTGGAAGAATTCGTTCAGAGAAGTGCTGCCACCTTACCTTTTTCTGTCGCCAAGCAGTATAATGTGAGCATATTGTGTTTCGGCTTTGAAGGATAAGGATGCTAGTTAAATTACAGGAACATGGGACTTTCCAATTTATGTCTTAGTGGCAGTGCACTTCAGATCGTTGCGATTTAAAGCTCTGAGTGGCACTGTATCTTTTTTTTAATAAAATGTACCTAAGTGCGCATTTGACCTCCATGTCACCTGATGGAAAGTGATGAGGTCGACGATGGAGCATGCACACCTATAAAAGGCCCAAGTTATAACGTTCAGGGAACAAGTCTGTAGGCAGGGAATTCCACTCCATAGCCGTTCGCCATATAAATGTGGAAGCGTAACGCTTCGTGCGAATCTTTGGAATATCCACAACATAAGGGTGGAACCCAAGACTACGCCTAGTCCCCCGATTATGGAAAGGGGAAGGGGGAATTAAATTGTGTAATTCCATCGCACACTCTCCTCTATGGACAGGCGTATCTCTTACCACCAGGCGCGTGACTTGTTCATGTCGTCACCGGCTATCATTAAATAAAAAAACTGCGCTACAAAACACAAATCGTTGATGTTGGTAAAAAAGGCGCTGGCATGAAAGGGACCTGGGTCGGAGACATCTGCCACATTGTTAAGCGAGCTGTGGGCAAACACCATAACGACGTATATCCCACTAAACACAAGACGGAGAACACCCAGAAATAAATGACGTGACGAGCTAAATGCATAGAATGAGATCTTGGTGTGCAGCGGCGTTGAATCGCGATGAGTGGAAAAAGGGAAGGGATACCTTTGCCCTGCAGTGGAATAGTAACTGAAAAATTTAATTAAAATGAAAATATACAGCGTAGTAGTGTCCAGTACGTAAAAATTTGTCAAACAGAATTATAATTGCCAGTTAATAAGCTCGATACACTATAATTTACCTTACGTGTAGATAATTAGAAATAATAACTAGTTACACGCTCAGTTGACTGGTAATGGTTGTAATTAATGACTTAATGCAGCCATAGGTCAAACGTGAATAATGCGCTTCAATATAGCTGACGATTCACAAATTTCACATGGTGGTTTTATTGAATAATTATATAATTATAGATAACGTTCTGCAAAAGGATAATTTTTCAGGAAATTAGTTTAAAGATTCTAGCGAAGTTTCTATAACTTTTTATGTTAAAATTGAAGAGTGAAATAATATTTTTTTTAATGATGGTAAGCGACGAGCTTGTCCATAACAGTTGCAGTGCTACTCAGAACATCAAATCTAAAGGATCATAAAGGCACCACCACTGCGCCCGTCACCCTGAGATATAAGTTGACAAGTCCCACGTGCCAGTAATTTCACCAGCACCCTTACCATTCCAAACCGAAATGCAGTAATGCTGACATTAATACTTGGCGGCAGAAATAGATAAGATGGCAGTACTTCCCTGGACGAACTCTTTCACAAGGAGTTCTAATAAATACATCTAGAAACCTGAGTGTCAGACCCAACTGGTTTTTAAGGGCCTTAGATTTATTAGGCAAGATAAAATTACACGGAACAGACAATCCGGCAACGTAAACAAGTAAATAGCCTGCCTCTACCACCATTTACATTGCGGAATAACAAATGACTGTGATTGTGGTGCAATTACATCACGGCATTGATTAAGAGACGTACACATTTGGTGTATATTGAGTTTAAATTTACTTGTGTTCTTTTAAAATGTTATAAAACCTAAAGCATGCATTAAATTGTTCTATGTCTCGTAATACATAAACTCGTATAATTGGTATAATAAGATGGTCGCTTTTATCATATGACAGTAATATAAATATTGAAAACTGTAATAAAAAAATATAAACCAACTTCAGAAGTTGGTGGAAACACAACTAATTTGCTATCCTTAGAGGTGGAATACTTTCTTCAAATTTAAATGGGGTAAAAAAAAAACGGTTTTTCATGATTGTTACACACGGCAAATTCCACGAACTTTGAGGACTTTTTTTATAAATACTTATAGTTGAAGAATTCTATTTTATTTATTTATTTAAAGCACACACTCATAGCGCCGCACTGGGGAAACTTTGTATCGCAGGTGCCATGGACACACACATAGATAACTACAAAATACACCCAAAGTCACGAGATAAATAAAAGTAGTTTCTCCCGGGAATCGGACCCGGGACCTCTGCTTGGCAAACCACACAGGCAGTATGCTATTCTTGGATAGGTAAGTTGTATTACTTCCTTAAAATCCAATGACATGCTTATTTATTTAATTTAAATTACGCGAGGCATGGGCAGTTAGGCTACATAATAAGCACGGACAAAAAATGTTCTTTACACCGGCCATCATTGGTTGCAACGTATTATTATTAAATATTCTATATCGAATTTGACTAGAGTATAAATTTCAAACGCACTCACCGTTTAATAGTATTACTATTCATTGGTACATTCGTTATAAAGAAGGCATTATTAACAAGACCACTTGTTTGCCATTTTCTTTGCCCCAAAGATTTGGCTATAAATTCTGTGATAGAACCTAGTATTTATGTGGTCTGTGGATAGAACTTTTGTGAGCTACGTTCAATAATTCATACTTTAGTCAAGAATTGATTATATTAATATCCGTGTTCGAAAATTAACTGTCCATTGTGTTTGCTTAAAAAATCACAAAATATTCAAGTTTAGTCACGACATTGTTTTTTAGATACAAGTCTTGGAAGGTTATCTTTAAGTCACAAGACACCGCTTTGCTTTTTGTCCACAAAAAAAGTTGTGATAAAAATAATATTGATTGCTGTTTAAAACAATCCTTACATATTTTTTAAATTGGGAGGTGTGGTAATATTTAACCGACTTAAGAAAAGAGATAATGACGTTTGCGTGAATTGTTTTGTTTTACATTAGCATGTATTCTGTTAATTAGAAAACATAGAAATATTTTATTAAGGACTTTAAGCTTAATTGACAATCATTTGACAATGTAAAAGTGCCGAGTGGAATTGAAGTACTCAAATATAAAAGGAGATTTTTTAAGTGTTTTGGTGAAATTACAGGCACATGGGACTTGTCAGCTTACGTCTCAGGGTGACATGCGCTGTGGCAGTGTGGCAGATCTTTACAATTTAAAGCTCTGAGTGGCACTGCAACTGTTATGGACAGGCGTGTAGCTTACCACTGGGCACACGACTTTTCATATTAATAAATTCGGTTTATTGGATTTCATTCACTTTCCGTTAACCTATTTCACTAAGACGCAACTAGTTAGCAACTTTATAAAAAAGTTATCAGTTGATCTAGTTAATAAGTAAATTTGCATTAGACTGTATTCGACAGGGGATACAAGCAGCACCTAAAAAACAACAATGTGCTTTGACTCTGTCCTTTTTATTCGTAAATTAGTAATAAACATCTGATTAGTTGATGTTTCATATGTAATCAAAATTCTACTTTTTAACATTGTACTTGCAGTTACTGCTAATACTAATCTAGCTAGTAAAAACTATTTGAGCTTTATGAACTTCAAAATACGTCTGATTTGTCACGTTTTATGACTTAAAACAATACAAATTAAACAATTACACAAGGGTAGGTTCACTGTACACACCTGCGAAGAGGATGACGTTAGATCTTCTTTCAAGAATCAAGAAAACAAACTCCTTGTTAGCTTCAAATCGTTGTCCTAATATCCTGTCTTCTAAACCTATAACGGTTGCTGCTGCCGCTATTGTCCCTTCTTCATTTACTTCTATCTCGACTTTCTGAGCCCCTTTGGAGACGTATAAGGGACTATCTGAAATTCCAGGTAACTGTGCTTTCGTAGCATCAAAAATAGAATAAATTCCTGTATATTGCATAGGAGGAACAATGTCAGTTCTTGATGATAACTTGAATCTAGGTATGTATGTATCAACTTGAGGCAAATTACCAGCAATTTTGAATTCTGTCATCCAATTCAGATTTTTACTTGCCAGATTGTTTAATAATCTTTTCAAAGGCATTCCATCGAAAGGCAAAAGTATCAACATAGAGAATTCCTCGTGTTTCCCATAAGTCATTTCAATAATTTGAGCTCCAATTTGCTCTGAATCACCAAAACTATGCGGAGCTTTATGATACATCATGTTGACAGTTCCGATTCGTTTTCCTTGTGAATTATAGAATGCTTCTTCTTTAGTATGCGTTGGATCAAATGGATGTGTCCAACTTGCTTTGAAATACAAAGCATCAACGATTATCATTCTTAAATTCTCCAGAAACTCTGGTTCTACAATATTTACTATTCTCCCTTCAGTAGCCAGACAGACGTATAGATTAATATCATTGGCTACTTTTGTAGTGTTCTTTGGATCAACTGAATAAATATCGGCGTTGTACGCTAAGGCGGAATCGCAGAATTCTTTATGTATTTGTAAATCACAATCGGTGAATAAAGCTTGTTGTCCTTTGAAAGTCACTCCTTTATTTTGAAATTGTAGAATATTCCTTACTGCCATATGAAGAGAGTGCGTGGCTCGCGAATCATTTGGAAGTTCCAGATTATCCACTAGCTCTTGAAACGTGTCACCAGCAGAGCCTTCAGCTAACAAAGCAAAAATACTCCAAACTGATAACGGAGATATTGCAACGTTCTTAATCGCAAAACTTTCTTGAAAAGCGTATGTATTGTCCAACAGTCTTAATGCAAATTTATTGATCGGTGTAAAATCCAGATCTTTTGGCGCTGAAACAGCTAAAGTTACAAATGTTGCTGCAATTATAACCTTTAGCATTTTGGTTATAGCACTTTGTCGCTTTATTGTGTAATTGTATGGTGATTGTATGGGAAAATGAAGCGGTTGTAACGCGCAAGATCGCGTCTCACGTGCGATGGATACAATGGGTTAGAGGCAACTGGTTGGCTAACGTTTATCACAGCACGTTTAAAGATACGAAGCGACGTATGGGAAGCATTTACATGGGAATGAGGATTTTATATTGGTATAGTGTGTAATGCTAATGAGATTTGAAAAATATTTTTTTTTATACTTAAGTTTATATATGTAATTTCGACGGGGAGGAATTTTAATAGTCTGTTCGTGTGTATTTAGTGCGATTGCCTGTCAGTTTATTATAGATCCTAAACAGACCAATTATACAGGTTTGTGATGAAAAAAATGTTTAAAATTTTTATCACTGATCTCTATAGCATTTTTGTGCTGATTGATTACGAGAAAAATAATAAAGAAATTTATCACCCTTACTAAATAAATCACACATTAAATTTGCACTTTAAAAGCTTTTCTGACAAACGTACAATCTTTTTACACTTTTTACAAAGTTTTTCATATAATAGATTTATATAATATTACTTATTATTATTGTTTTATGAAAAGTACCAAAAGAGGTTTTGATAGAAAGCGAAAACGTTACTACGAAACATTTTGTTATTTTTTTTTTTCCAAAAATTTTCCCTTATTTTTCAAACCGTATGTGATTGTAAAAAATCAACATTATTCTTAAGATCAATACGAAAATCATTTTTCAAAATCCATTTTTATATTTTTTTTTGCACACTGTTACACAACAGCCAAGCCAGTTAACTAAAGAAATTTCGATGCTGAGGGTCTTTATTTTTAAAATTAATAATATAATTAAATAAAATAAAAAAATATAAAATTTGTAAAATATTGTAGCGTAAATTTAAATTTTGTTTTGATTAATTTAAAAATAAGCTATTTAATTAGTAACTTTTGTAATATATTGTAAAATAGGGTGGTTTGCATTAATATTGGACATAACTGTTTGATGACTTTACCATCTTAATAAGCGTGACTGTTTCCTTGCCTAATTTTTTTTGTCTTATTTGAATGTTTGTTTTTGCTCAGTGTACATTAATTTTGCACACAATAATTGGACATAGTTATGCAAACAAGAACCAACCCACACCTCGAGTGAAATTGAGTTAGATATGTACATATTTAATTAGAACACCAGACGTGTCCTTTACCCGCTCACAAAAGACCCTGGCAATATACCAAGCCAAAGCGGAGAAAACAAAAGTCCTTCAGGGTATCAACCCTAAATAAGTAACTTTTTAATAGCTAAAAAGAACTATGCTGCTTAACTTCATATACTTAATGTATTTTTTAAATATGCTAAATGTATCCATGCCACATGGTCTGATGTACTGTAGATCTTTAGCGTTTTCATTACGAAAACTAGATAATGGTTCTCGTTAGCTAAATAAAAAGATATATAACGCTTTCTATTTATTGCTATATAATATAATAGTTTGCCTATATCATACTCAATGTTACAAATAACTCTCGTTGTTTGTCTCAAATAACTTACCTATTTTTTTCTTTACGCTGTTTTTACAAAAATCTAATTATCTCGAAAGTGACATTTTGTGGGTTGGTTTTAGTTTACATAACTATGTCCAATTGTTCTTCATCAGTTTTATATTTATCTTTTATTCTGACATAGTCAAGGACTGAGAACGTAATAACTATTAGCGTGGAGTTATAAAAATTTTATGATGTTTGATCAGCGCGTTTGCCTTGTGGAGTGCAATAAACTTGAACTTAAGAACATTAAGTTTAAGAAGTAATAAAAGTAATTATCATTATTTTTAAAATATCGTATAGTATATTTAATATAGTTATTAATAATAAATTCCGTCCTTCAATTCCGGTTTTTATTTCACTGTTGATGCGGTCAGACTTTGGAACGCTCTTCCCATTACTGTTCATGATAGTAAATCCTTAGCAATTTTCAAAATGAGGTTTAGGAGCACTATTTTATAGGTATTATAGTACGAAATATGTAATTATGTATGTATTTATATTGTTTTAATAATTTAATGTTTTGATGTTTTTTTATTCATAATTTATGTTTTGTTGAGCACGTAAACCCGTTATAGTAATTTATGTCTCCTGTATTTAGGTCTTCAGGAAGAAATTTCTGTTAGAAATTAGCAATAATTAGTATAAGGTTCAGAAGAAGTGTGTTCGGGCGATCTGCGGTGCGTGGTTCGACAACAGCTGTAAACCGTTGTTCAAAAAACTAAATGTACTGCCTTTGCCATGCATGTACATTAGGGATATCTGTGTATTTGTCAAAACTTATCCTCAATATTTCAAAATATGTGGTGAAATTAAGCAAAGGCAGACTAGAGTAAAAATTAATTTGTAAGAAAAAAACTGCTTCAACATGTGTGTTTTCAACAATTTGCCAAATGAAATTAAATTGTTGCATGGACATACTTTTAAATTAAAATTGACAAAATGGCTTTTGACACATTGCTTCCATAGTAGTAAAGAATACTTAGAGTTTTCTAATGCAAATTGTACACTAATTTGAAGTGCAATTAACAGTAGAAACCGAACATGAAATTAATATTTGTACATCTGCTTGCAGGTTGAATACAATGTATCTAATTTTATTTAAAACCTTTATCATTACTGTATTCTGGCAAATACAGTAACGATAAAGGTAAACGTATTCCATTCTATTCTACTCTATAGCTTTTGTTTGTGTTTTCCTTGTTCCTTGTTTTGTTATTTTTTTTGTACAATAAATAATTAAAGAAATAAATAAATAATATTTTTTTTATAAAACCAAGTGACGGGACAAACAAGTGCGCCTTATAGTAAGCGATATTCATACAATTGCGGTTGCCGCAAACGGGGACTATGTCGATTTTGTATGAAAATAGAATGCTCGCTTCTAGTTGTCGGTAGCTTGTATCCAATAAAAGTCACAAGTCCTTTGTGGCTGTATTTCACCAGCACCCTTACCCATCACCACCGAAAACTTGCACTATAATATAACCGCTCACGCGATGCGCTCATCCTACCGCAAAATGGCGGCTATTTGGTTTCGTAAATTAGAAAAGGATTCAGTTTAAATACAAGTTTTTATAAATAAAAATTATTATTCTGCATTGCTAAATAAATACCCTCCGTACTAAAACAAAAACATCTCAAATAAAATGCAGTAATACACCGCAAATCCTGCACTTAAAAAGCACTAATGAAATTTTTGGTGTACTTGGGTAAATATGATAATATTCCGTTTGAGTGGTTCTAACGTTTACCATGAAATTACTCCTTAAAGTATAGGTTATAAACATTTATATTCAGGGTAAACTTAAAAAACGCTACTTACGGTATGTTTTCAATAAATAAACACCGAAATCACCAGCCCAAACAATAACACACACGATTGTCGTGACGTATTTTTGTAGTTGTTTATTTTTTTAAATGACAGACCCAGGCATTACAAACTTTATGGTTTGCTAGAGTAGTTACCGAAATAGCAATTAGTATTAGTTCTTTTACCTGTTATAACTTCGATATTCGACAAATCGGTATAAAATCATCACCGGCACCTCTAGGTGTGGTATGCGTCTACGGCTGCATGTATCGCGTGAGCGGTTAAAAAAATATAAAACTCTTTATTTCAAAAGTACGCTAATTAGGCTTGAAATCGACAAATTAGTTAAATTCATCAAATTGAAAAAAAAATGTTAAAAATTCGTAACCTGCGAAGAATTGGTAACACGGATTGCTTTTTGTAAATAGGTATTTATTTAAATATATCATTTGCAATATATACAATATACATGCAAAAGCCTTAAAGAATTCAATTATCCAACGCAGAAGGTGTATAATATGTTATCTTCTAAAATATTTGATTTGTATAAATTAACTTTGATAGTTTTATGTTGGGCCTCAAAACTAAGACAAATGAGTGTTAGAAATAAAATTATATCTTTGAGAATCAAATAATACTAGGAAATGAAACTATTTTTCCGGATTTAAATGGCGTATATTTGTTTTTTCAAACAAACCGACGTTTCGGGCCCTTTACAGGTCCCATGGTCACGGTTGACCAAACAAACAAATATACGCGATTTAAATCCGGAAAAATAGTTTCATTTCCTATGTGTAACAATCGCGAAAACCTAAGAACTCGACAAATAATACTACTTATTTATTTTTCATAAAATAACAAATGAGCTTTTGACCTGATGGAAAAGTGACGACGAGGTTGACAACGTCTATTCACTCTAGTCTTGAAAAGGCCCAATATAGCGTTCAGTGAATTTCACTCCATAGCCGTTTGCCATATAAATGTGGAAGCTTAATTGTCCGTGCGAATTCATGGAATATCCAGCCTAAGTCTAGTTCCCTGATGACGAAAAGGGGAAGGCGAAATCAAACCGTGATATTCCATTACACACTCTCTGTGATATATTACTCTACAAAACAGGTAAATTGCCAAATTGCCAGGTAAATCTGGTGCCAAGTTTTCAAATTGTCTCAAAAGCACGCTTGTGCAACATACTAATGTATAGTTTGCACAAAACCAAAGTTATTTCAAAATATTGTTCACCTACTATTCTAAGGTTCACCTCATATTTTACTGACAACAATATCGCAAAAACATAAACAAACATATCAACATGTCAATGTTATCGTTTAGAAATGTAGAAAATAAATTATTCCGATTATTGGTATGGCAATCCGCCCGCATACTGGCAGCTTCATTTTTAATGTAATGTAGTACCAGAATCACTTTTAATTGTCAGCTAGTTGTTAAGTGCGAAAGGGTTAATGAAGCCACGGCCATTCTTTCTTTCTGCAGCTTGATTTTGATTACCTCTCCCGATCGGAAACTGTGTCTTTTCCGAGTCGAGGCGCACAATTGCGATTCACAACTGGCCGATCGGAAACTTTTAACATTTCAAATCGGAACAATAGTTGACTTAACTCCATTGACTTACAATTATATGGACGTCGGGTCCGCGCTAAAAAGTATCCGAACTTATAGGGCGTTAAAATCGTATACAGAGCGTCATTCACGCTTTAGTCTTCGTTTGTTCGACTGACAGCGAAGCAA